TTTTCTCTTTGCTTGCTTGCGAGAAGTCTTAATGAGGAAGTTGTAGATGAAATCTCGTTGAGATAAATGTATGTAATGTAGATGATGGCATTTAAAAGTTTTCAAATTAGATTATATTTGTAGATTAGACTGTGAAGTCCACCTCCGAGATCTATAAAAGGCTCATGACCAATGCTTCTTCAGTTTCTAGCAAGGCTTCCAACAGACGTTTTTACAATGGCAGCTGTTTCATACAGGTTGTGGGACGAAGCTCTCCAACAATCACACTCTACGAAAGCCGGCAGAACTCGCCCTTCATATCTAAGAGCATTAGCGGAACAGACCTCTCTTCATGGAATCCAAAACCTCCTCCAGCCAAACATGGGCTCCATCAGATACTCGCTCTGGCTGCTGTCCATCTTGGGATCACTGGGCTTCCTCCTACACTATTTCTTCAGCTCTATTACTTTTTATTTCCAATACCACCATGTCACCCAACTAGATGAGGAGAGAAGCGAGATTCACTTTCCCGCTGTTACACTGGGCAACATGAACCCAGTCCGGCTGTCCGCTCTATTACTTATAACAAAAGTAATAAGAAACAATTATTACTTTTGTTATAAGTAATGCACTTTTGGGTATTTTATGTTACATTTTCTGTTATTTTGTTAAAATATTGTTTTATGGATGGGCTATTTAAATAAGATATGATGTCAGATGTTTTACTGTTTTCAACATAAATTATACAGTAGTTCATAGTTTGACAATATTTAGATTTTTTTAAAATACATACTATTTAATGTTAACAAATTGCAGTTTGTTTACCCTGTATTGTAAAGTAATCAATTTAAACCAGGTTTTTACTGTAACATTTTTACAGTATTTTTCAGGCTTTTTAAGTGAAGGAAAAATCACAGATACCATAATATAACTGAAAGCTATTTACTAATTTATGCATAACTGTGCATTTATGCATAAATATAGTAATGAGCAGCAGTATAAAAACAACAACAACCTAAAAGCCTCACTAAATGTTTTCAATCTGTCCCTTTACATGAACTGGTTGAACAAATGTAATTACTATGACTTAGACTGTCATTGCTTACCTGATCATGAGCTATTGAGAATCTAATGCTTGTGGAGTGAAACGTTGCAAAACTGCATCTGTTTGTATGCGTATATACAGTAATAGTGGTAAATTTAGTTGCTTTATTTGATAATTTCAATAGAACAGAAAGCATTTGGATGAGAGAAACCTATGTCAACATATCAGTTGTTTTTAACAACTGGTAATGGAAATCAGTATCTTACAGCATCCAGTGTGTCTTATCACAATCACTGTGAAGATTAACTTTTAAGAGTTCAGACTCATTTTTCTCTTTGCTTGCTTGCGAGAAGTCTTAATGAGGAAGTTGTAGATGAAATCTCGTTGAGATAAATGTATGTAATGTAGATGATGGCATTTAAAAGTTTTCAAATTAGATTATATTTGTAGATTAGACTGTGAAGTCCACCTCCGAGATCTATAAAAGGCTCATGACCAATGCTTCTTCAGTTTCTAGCAAGGCTTCCAACAGACGTTTTTACAATGGCAGCTGTTTCATACAGGTTGTGGGACGAAGCTCTCCAACAATCACACTCTACGAAAGCCGGCAGAACTCGCCCTTCATATCTAAGAGCATTAGCGGAACAGACCTCTCTTCATGGAATCCAAAACCTCCTCCAGCCAAACATGGGCTCCATCAGATACTCGCTCTGGCTGCTGTCCATCTTGGGATCACTGGGCTTCCTCCTACACTATTTCTTCAGCTCTATTACTTTTTATTTCCAATACCACCATGTCACCCAACTAGATGAGGAGAGAAGCGAGATTCACTTTCCCGCTGTTACACTGTGCAACATGAACCCAGTCCGGCTGTCCGCTCTCACAGACTGTGATTTGCAGCACATTGGAGGGATTTGGGGCCTTCCTGCAGACACCGTCCTCAGTAAGCGTGCCAGCCAAATGGGCGACATGTACGTGCCGCGACTCAACATCACAGAGCCAGAGCGCAACCTGTGCAGGTTTGACTGGCAGGACTTGTATGATCGAGCCGCTCACCGCCTCTGGGACATGGTGAAATCTTGTCGTTTTCAGGGGCTGCACTGCACCCTTGAAGACTTTGAATCTGTGAGTAATCCCTGGCTCTTGCCTTTGAACTTTAATCCATTCAGCTCCCTGTATAGCCACGGGCCGGTGTTCTCTGCGAGAGGTGTCTAGGAACCTCCTCATATGCATATAAACTTCTCTCTACTGAAGAATCGAACTTCGTAAAATAGGTTATGATGAGAATAGATTAAGATTTTTTTGTAGGTAGTTCATCTGATATCTTCTAAGGCCTCTGCACAAGTACTGTGAAATTAGAATATAACCACTAAGAGAACGTCTTGTCTTTTTTGGTCTTTCTTTTAACTATAACTAGACTTCAAAGCTTGAAACGATTCTGTTTGAAGTTGCTTTCTTTTTCAGGCGCACTAATGGTTTTGGACCACCTGTCTTGTAGGCTATAATGGTGCGTTCAAGTCATGTCGGATAGACCATATTTACGAGTTGAACGCACATGAACGCCACCACAAAGCCGTTATTACAAGTGGGAAACTTGAAATTTTCTGAGTTGGGGAGTGTCAATGAGAAACATGGCAGAATCGATGGATGCAACGTAACGTCTGTAGTTGACGGTAAATTTTTGTTTAAATTGATAGTTTAGTTGTCCTTTAAACTTAAATTGGTCATGTTCTTGTTACGCAGCTAGTTAATGAAATCCAAGTTTAAAAAATGCTATAATTTTTGCACCTATAGGTGAAAAATCTTTTGATTTGCCATGTTGCATTTAGCTAACAGCTTTTTTTAATCTCTGTATTTTAGCATTTGTTGATGCTGAAAATCAGTTATACTGGGATCCTGGTCTAAAAAAAATATTAAAAATGCAAAACACACCTGATGCGAATTCTTTGCTCTTCATTTTCTATAAGCGGAGTTAACAGACCCTGTTGTATTTTCTTGTAATTTATTAAAAGAAGGTACACCGCCATCTTGTGCCGACTAAACCGACTTGAACGCCACCTGACGTCGTAATTACGACTTGTCAACTTGTAAGTACGAACGTCCCAGGAGGACTTGAACGCAACATAAAATACGGAGTTGAAAAACCAGAAGAACAAGGGCTTAAATTTGAGATGAGTAAAGTGTCTGTCAGTGTTTTAATTTTATTTAATATTTTATTTAATTGTTGAATTGAGCAATTCCAGTCACATGATTAAGGGAATTATTAATATCATTACAATGAATTAACAGATTGTGTTAACACATGTCTGATAGTTGTGTCTGCGTATATAAATGTTGGGCCCACTCCAAACTCTTGGAGAGCAAACAGTTGGGTCACTTCCATTCATTAGCCAAAAGTAGCAGTCTAGTTAATTTTAATTATAGCCTATATAACAATCTGGAAAAATGATGGACTGCCATTCAAAAGTTTGGGTTGGTAGTTTTTATTTACTTGTTTTATTATAATTTTTGGTATGTCTATTATGCTCTCACGTGGCTGCATGTATAAATACAGTAAAACAGTAATATTGTGAAATTTTATTACAATTTAAAATTCATATAATATATTTAAAAATAAAATTCCCATTACTCCAGTCTTCAGTGTCACATGATCCTTCAGAAATCATTCTGATATGCTAATTTGGAAATATTTCTTATCAATGTTGAAAACAGTTGTGCTGTTTAACATTTTTGTGGAAACCATGATACATTTTTGTTTTCAATATTCTTTGATGAATAAAGTTCTAAAGAACAATTTATTTGAAATGGAAATCTTTTATAACATTATAAATGTCTGTACTGTTACTATTTTATCAATTTGATGCAATCTTGCTAACATTTATTTTAAAAAGGGTTAATGGTAGTGTATGTTTTAGTAGTCTGCAAAGAGTAGTGGTCTGCATTTTTTGTTTTGCTTTCAAAGTAGAATAATTATTCACTTAATGTGAATCTGCAGTAAGCTTACCTATAAAAATATTGCAATACCAATAATGCAATAAAACAATATTACTCACAATTTTGTAATGGCCTCAGTTAGAAATGCGCATGCATCACTCTGCAAACTAGTTATTGTTCACATACCTCAATGACTTTTTTTAATGATTTTTTTTAAATGCATTATCACTAGAAAGTGTAGTATATGCTATTCAGAAGTGTTAATACTTAATAATTGGTGACCTATACAGAGAGACACAACCACTTCTTGAAGTAGAAGGACTGTGTTTGAGATGGGGTTTGTGTCATGAACTTAATTAAGCTCTGTTGTTTTTTGTAAAGGTCAGTGTATTTTACAAAGTACAGTGATTAATATTTCAGCTGAAAGAAGATCAATTTTGCACCTGCAATGTATTTGTGGGAGTGATTGAATTTTATTAAAATGAGATCTCTGATATCTAATTGACAGCGTACTATTATCTACTGGAGAAAATATATGGCAGTATGTAATTATAGACAGACGTTACATGAAGAGTGTTGTACTGCTGTGCAAATAGATATGTTGAAAAAAATTGATCAAACCCAAAAGAAGAACAAAGTGAAACAGACTGGGAGCAATCCATGTAAACATGTCTTAAAATAGCCTTGTTATTAAAATGTCACAAACATCAGGACATTCCCACGAGGGAGGTTAGGACAAGGACAGCTGCACTGACTAAATAAATATATAATACGCTAACTTCTCAATCACTGGGATACATGATACTCAAACAAAGACGTTAAACACACTAGGGGAACTCACTAAGAATAATAGTGCCGTTTATTTTCAAATGCTGTCTGGGTTGTTTTAGTGCCTGATTCGCTAAAGAAATTATGTGTGTGTGTGTGTGTGGGGATGTGTGGATGATTTGGCTTGAATATTTCATTATCCTTTGAAGAATAATTGCTGTCATTGATCAATATAGAATGTACACAGACATGTCTTCATTTTTTATTTTTTCAGTGGTGGAGACAGGCCAACAGAATTTGAGGTTTGGATCACATGTCCAGCAGATGCTAATCTATAGAACATAAAACATCTAAAAAGGTACTTTTTTTTTAATGCTGAAATCAAAGAAAATGTGAAAATTTTGTGTACTGGCCTCTTTCTATATAGTGCATAAAAGGCAAATCAGTTAAAGTGACGAGCATTTGTCAGGACTTGTAACAACCTCTCATAAACTTATAGTATTATACAGGAACATGTCGTTCCATTTTAGAGGACGGACTTTCTTGTGAAGGCTTTGAAGCAAATTAAAAATCACCTTGACAAGTTTCTCAAAACTGTGTAAGTGTTGCATGAGATTTATTTGTTTTTATCCATTTACGGATAAAATTTGAAATAAACAAGCAGCTTCGAGAGTAGTCTGATGAAATATAAGTCAGTGAATAGAGCATATATAACACTGAATTGAATCGCATTGTTAAAATCAAATCCGTCATGGTGGTGATACAGTGGTTCAAGATCTGCGCTCGCGAGTCAAAGCCCATCATTTCAATTTTCAAACCTGGCTAATGGTGACCTGTCAGCAGAAAGTTTACAAGATCTTTTATGATGACTTTATTTTTTGAACAAGGCACTTAACCTCAGACTCCTGTTGGGGTCTTCACACAGTGTGTACTTTAAGTGGCTTTGAAGTGTCAGTTAAATAAAGTAAAGTAACACATAATGTACTGCACTTCCAGTGAGCGGAAGGAAGAACTTCAGAACTCGGTCGCTTGTATAATCTTGCGTGCAAACCTCATATGATGTTCTAGGAATCCTTTGTGCTGATACTAATCGCTTTAGTTCACATGTTGACATCCTTCCATATATGTTATTGCACACTGTATTTTCTTGAATGTTCCTTGAATACAATGATGGCAAAATTATATAGAAAATTCATCCACTTGGTTGAAATTTTTTTATTTGTTTATTAAATTCTTCTAGCTTTAACATCACAGCTCTGGTTAGTGTCTTGAAGTGTTTGGACTCTGCATTTTATTGTGGTGAATTCAGAGTTCGCCATTTCCTATCTTAATATACTCATTAAACTCCTTTTATACTTTAGATGAATTAGAAATGAAAAGTTTTCAGATTTGGATAACCAGATTGTCACAAAGTCTGTAGAATTACAGTTCTCTTCATAGTAATCTGCTAGCGAGCAATAAATGAAATCAGCCTTTAAAAACAATTTCTCCTTTCCTGTTTGTAAGGTTCAAATTCCTGTTCCTACTGACAAAAGTTTCTCTGTTGCTTCGTTTCAAGAACTCCCACTCAGTGAACATTGACTGCCCGGACGTCTCACAGAGAATAATTTAGCATTTGATAGCAACTTCCCAAAGACAAATACAGTACCCACATTCCTATATTAGTGAACAAACAGCTTATTTTGCATCCTCTTTGTAACAGGGCTGACGAGACATGAGATGTGCGGATCCATGTGTGAGCTTTATTAAAACAGAAGAGGTCAGAAACACAGGCAGGGTCGAACAATGGCAAACAGGTATAATGAGGGCAAGACAGAAGAGTAACGGGCGTGGTCGATAAGCGGCTAACAATATCCAGAGGGCTTGACACGAGGGGTTATCCAATAACAATGCAAAGGTCCAGGCAGGGGCAAACAGTATCTGAACAGGGCAAGATGAGAGAGGTAATCCGAAGTACACAGGCAATAATCAGAAGATGAGGAAACAGACAAGGCAAGACTAGGCTAAGGCTATCGAAGGGAAACAGGCTCCGTAGAGTAGCTATCGCTAAGAGAGTGATAAACGCATACAATACTCGGCCGAGGGAAGGGATCAGAATGAGTGTTAAATAGTGAGTGAGTGATATGAAACAGCTGTGTGCAATCAGTGCTGTGTGCAATCAGTGCAATGAATGATGGGATATGTAGTCCGGGATGATATGCAATAGTGTGTAGTGCGAGAGTCAATGAAAATGGAAAGGGTGACCTCTGCTGTCTAGCAGACGGAAGTTCATGGGCCGGATACGTAACACTCTTGGGAGGTTTTGTGTTTTGCCCAGGAGGAACAGATGAGGCGAAACGTGTTGATGTGGACATGTCTCGTGTTCTTTGTCCTGTGGGGATACATTTGTTTTGTCTGACCCATGGCCTCATTCACAAGTAATTGGTCTCTAGATTATTTATTGTCATGCTGCAGTACATCTGGCAAGTCTGTCTGTCACACAAGGCTTTTTTGTGTGTGCAGAGATGTTCAAGTAGCATATTAAACAACTTTCATCTATACTTTATTTTCTGGACACAGTTGTAAACTCAAGATCTCTGCAAAGGCCATCTCTCTGTCTTTGTAATTTATCTGTACCAAAAAAATAAATAAATAAATGTATGTAGACATTCAGCTAAAGTGATATTTCCTCAAATGATCAGTTGAACTTTTTCATCTGTCTTTGTTTCTCTTTTTCTTTTATATTTCTTGCATCTGTATGGTTGTTGTTTTTTTCTATTTTTTTGCTAGTTGCTGGAATAAGACACAGCAGCACTATAAAGGTGCAGTCACATATACTGTTGCTTGGTGAAATCCAGTAATTTCAATAGGAATCCACACGCTCGGGAGTTTCGTGTGAGGATGAAACGGTCCCATGCAGACTTTGCTCCTGTTCAAATTCGCCACATTACTTGTTTGGCTGTTTGGTTTGAAAGTGACTTTCATGTGAGTGGTGCTTAATGCATTGCTACACTATTGACAATGGACCTTTGTCCTGTGAAATTTCGCTAAAGTGACCAGACCACATCGTAAATGTATCCTAAAATGGTCCATGTGACTTGTGTTATATTTTAAGTCCTCTGATACTGTACGATAGCTTTGTGGGATAAATGAAATGAAATTGAATTATTTACACAAAATCTTTACCACTAATGGGCTGTTAAAGTGTGGTCACATTAGCAACATTTGTGGGCAAAAATTTGTGTGACCAGTTTGAACGCAAGCAAAATCTGCATGGGGAACTTTTTCTCCTTTATGTGAAACAAAATTCTGCAGAAAATGGTAAATGTGACCTAACCTTTAACTGCTGTGACTGAATCAATCAGTAAGAACCAGATTAGTCCAATGTGCAAACAATATTTTTTTTATTTCTGCAGGTTCGGTCCTCCATAAGTTTCTGATCTGATCAAAAGAACTATTTCTTAATGAAAGAATGCTGAGGTGGTCAAAATCTTCATAGCAAAATGATACATTTAGAGTAAATTGTTTCATTATTCAGTCACCCATTTGGCTACACTCGTCAGGCTGGTCTATCTGTAACAATAATCAAACCAGTAACAGACCACCATTACTCATCTAAAATTAGTTGATTTAAGATGGTTTAAAGTAGCCTATTTTTTTTCAGCAGAGTAAATTTAATTTTCCTTGAGCAAACATTTTTCAAAATGATTTAAGATTGCAGTTAATTGCAGTGACCTGACCTGTTGTGTTTGCAAACTTATCCATGCAGAAATCAGAAGTGGATCCCTCATCAGCATCAGTTGCAATATCAGTTCCAGTGCAACATCCTGTCATTATGCCTTTGTGTCTCATAGATGTATAGAGGAGATATATATTGAGGTTACGTGGTCACTGCTATTCAGAATGTTGAAGAGAGAACTGATACTGCATTCATGAGCGTAACACACAGGCCAGGTCTGTTGTCTCGCTTTAAAAGCCTCTTTTTTGTGTGTTTCGAACTGGTAAATAAAAGAAAGATGAATAAATTTGAGATGTTGTCATGCAGGGAAACATTCCTATTACTTGCTCCGCAGGTATCCATGGCAACCCTAATTCTGCAGGTACCGACCATTCGTGGCTGGTAATTGCTTCAAACGGATGCATACTTTTACCAAATTAACCTTTATCAAAACCTTGAGACGTATTAATCTTCTGTTTTGTCTCCATTAGTGTGACTCTGCAAAGTCATTCTGATTTATGGAGGTGTCAGGCGGGTGGCTCCAGACATCATCTCACGAAACGGGCCCCTGAATGTCATCATTTCATCCTCCCAGTTCCAGAACAAATGCCCCTCTGTGACAGCTCCTGAGCTATTGATGTGAGATCACTTTAGAATCCCTTGACGTGGCGCCCGTTTTGTTTTATTTTTGGGACATTTGTTCCTCTTTGTGTCAAGCTAAAAATATTTCTCCGTCATTGAAAATTAAACCACTGAGATGCACTTTATCAAAGAGATTGAGCTGGGCTAGAGTGATCTGTCTTACCGTAACTCGTGTTTTGTTTGTGTTACTCGTGTTCTGTTGTTTTGTGCTCTGCTCCCCACCCCCCCACCCCACCCATCCAGGATGTAGATGAGTTTGTTTCTTCATCAGATTTGAAGAAATTTAGCATTGCATCGTTTGCTCACCAGTGGATCCATAGCAGTGAATGGGTGCCATCAAAATGAGAGTCCACATAGCTGACATAATAATCAAGGAATTCAATCCATTAATTAACATCTTGTGAAGTTCTGGCAAAAATACAGTCCATAAAATAACACTTCCTCCAGTAAATAAGTCTGAAAAAAGATTGACACAAGATTACTACTTCATTGGAATCAGCAATATTATAGATTGACAACTTTTTAGCCAGAAGCAATATGAAATGAAGTTAAAAATGTCTTTTTTTTATTTTTGGGTGAACTCTTAGTTTAAAGGAATACTGTAGTTCGCCTAAAAATGACAATTCTGGCATTTTTGATGTTGCAAATCCATTTTGATTCTTCAGTAGGCTGAAACACAAAAGATGTTTTGATAATGTGATTTTTTTTTCATGCAGTTGCAATACATGGAAATTAGAGCCCTCAAACTTTTAAAAGATCAAACAATTTATTGAAAAGATCCAACAATCGTAAATTTGTCAGTGAATAATGACTTAAATTTTGGTCTGTTTGTCACACAAAGCTATTATATGACTACTTTTTTGATAGTTTTATGGTACTTTTATGGTCCAGACACCTTGTTGCTTGTTGCTTGACAGTCTTCATTCACTTTCATTATATTGATAAGAGTGGCTTGGATAATCTTCAAAAAGATTGTGGTTCATGGAGAAAGTCATATGGGTTTGGAAGGACGTTTGGGTAAGGGATTTTCATTTTGGGGTGTACAATTCCTTTAAGCTTTGTAAATAATTAAAGACATGTTTTCCAAATGCTTTCATACAAGAATCCTTTTTTCGGTGTGGGTTTTCCCACACCGTCTGCATGACATACAGAATAACTGTCTTTTTCTTCAGTTTCATTTTTTTAATGTCATTTATATTTTCTTTCTGTGCGGCTCCGCGGATGGCAAGCTATTAAATTGTCACTGAGGTTTGACAATCATTTTTAAAAAACAGAAAAAGAAATGAACGCGTTTCAGTATATGAATGTTAAAATGTTCTTCATAATTGAGGTTGAATTAGAAATGGTGAATAGTCCTGTAATATAGATGGGGTTCAAAAGCCTAAGATCACTAGTAAAAAACTATCACTCTGTAACTTATTCCCCTTCAAAATGACATTATTAGCATAACAATTTAATAGGAAAATTAACATGAATTGTAAACCTGGTCATCTGCTTTTTCCCCCCCAAAACACATTTACAATATCCTGTTCCTATTCACTCCTTTGTTCCTATCCTTATATCTCTTCATTTTCCTATTCACTGTCAAGGCCAGACCAGTAGACTTCAGAATCAATCCCAATTTAACCCACCCATCTGTAATTTGCAAGTAATTCCAAACACCTTAATGAGCTTGTTCAGGTATATTTAGTTAGATTTCAAGCTAAACTCCACAGGACAAGCAAGAGCCCTGCCCTATACAGTTACAAGTATTCACTTAGAATATATTGACTTTTTTATATTAGTCTGAATATGAATCATGCATGAATACATTTCCATTTTTGTCCTGACAGTTCCATAGAGCAACTTGTGCTTGAATGAAAGCAAGAAAATCTGACCTTTTATACAAAGTTCACATGCTTAATGTCACATATGATTAGTTGTAAATAATGCAGAACCTTTCTTATTCTTCAAAATGACTCATTTAACATAATGTTTCTTAGTTTGATTTATTTTCAAGTTTTTCAATGTGGACTCATTTGGACCACACGGTAGATGGATTTTCCCATGTGTTTTCCCAACTAAAAGTAGTCTTTGAACATATCATTTAGTAATACATTTATGTAAATACACATTCTGTTTTGCAGACTAAGTTGGAAAGCTTTTGCAAATGCACATGAGATTGTATTTGTGCTGAGGATTAATTGTGGAAAGTGTCTGTTTCCTGACTGGTGAAACAGCTGGGTCAGCTTTCTCTGCTCCATCCTGACATTAGATGTCAATGACATTGGCAATCATTTCAGAAAGCATTTCCTCTAACCGCCAGTGCTGGAAGTGTGTGCAGCACGGAGGCTCTGAATCCTCAGATTATCTGTATGTACAAGCTGTATGCAGAGAAAGTTTCAGCTGCCAATTTTGCTGTATCAAAACACCATTTTGTCAGCTTCTGATGTGCAATTACTTCTTTCTGGGCACATAACCTTCTCCCCCTCTCTGTCTCTCTCTCTCTGTCTCTCATTTCATTTTCTCCCTAATACTCTCAGATATGCGCTGGCCTTTACGCCACTCAAAAAAAAAAAAAAACCCTCTGCAGCTGCTGTTTTATGTAAATTGCAATATTCTATGGTTGATTAGACAATTGAAAAGGAACAACTGTACATTGATCTTAATTCCCAAGACCTTTGTTAATGAAAAAGCCATTAAGGTGTTTGATATGTGAAGAAATATTGTACCATCACTCGGTCATTATTGCAATATAAACCCTGATAGAGTGATCTGGACTTGTCGCGCTCTCAAGGGGTTTATTTTGCAATAATGTCAGGCTGACTGTACATTTATCTTGCTTATTTGCATGACCACTCACTGAATAAATGAATGAATGGATGAATAACTGAATAAATACAGCGGAATGAAATACTGATCCAAGTTGAAATTCCACTATTGTTAAAAAATTTGAAGTCAGTAAGAGTGTTATTTTTAAATTATATTAAAGGGATAGCTCACCCCAAAATGAAAATTCTGTCATTAATTACTCACCCTCTTTTGGAACAACATGAGGGTGAGTAATTAATGACAGAATTTTCGTTTTCAATTTTGGGTAAACTAACCCTTTAATGCTATTATTCAACAATGATATAATCACATTATTTGTGCACATGTGAAGGACTTATTCGCAGTGGCGGCTCGTGGGTTTTAAAATAGAGGAGGCACACTAATTGTATTGGTCTGGGATCCCCGATTATTGTTATTATTATTATTTGCTTAACCACTTTAAAATGGCTTTTTGGTTGCTTTTAGTCAGAAAACATAAAGAAAACGACATGCATACAGCAAGATATTATAACTTCACTTACCTGGCCTATCACTTGAAGCAAACGTGCATCCCTTCTTAAAAGTCTGTGTTAAAAGAGAGCTGCCTGTTGCGCCATATAATTAAGCCGACTGCTGTAGCCTATATCCAGCTTAGGCTGTTTTCCCTAAATTTATATATATACTGTTTGAATGACAGCTTGGTAAATCTGTTGGCAATCAAATATTCAATATCGTTACTCATCATAAGTACTTGGTACATTATCAGCGCAGCGGCAGACGTTCAAACTAATATCACGTAATTTACTTATCATTATTGCTGATCACTGTTGTTGTGCTATGATATTGTAATATTTACCATTATATAATCAGAGGGGTATAGAAAAGTTTATTAAAGTGTCACTCCATAATACAATACCAAAATATATAAATATGTATAGTATTTTTATGTTACATTAATCAGTATTTAGCACACAATAGAAGGCATTGCAATTACTAAATGATATTTAGACAGACTTAAAGAAGTTCCAGATCTATACTTGTGCTCTTATTATTTTAGTTATTTTGCCTTTAATGTAAATAAACATGTGCAAACAATATACTTGCTCTTGTGAATTTATTTTGACATTGTGCGAGCTGTCTCTTTAATACCGTGTGGTTTATATACATGCTGCTGCTGATTGGGCTGACATGTTTGACACACCCACCAAACAAGAGAAAACGCATCTCAAAACCTGTTGCACACCGTTTCCAGGAAATATGTCGTTCAAACCGGAAACCGTAGCAAACATCGGTTTGAGCTTGAACTTGCCCCAGCTCTTCCCCGGCCTCCCCCTCCCCTTCTCTATCATTAGCGGTTGTAATTACATCAGCAGATTTGGCACATTCGCGATAGAAAAGCGCCGCTTTCACGTTATGGTATTACAACTGTGAAATTACAAACAAAAAATACACATTCTGAGACATGAACTGAAATGAATTGTGAATTTTATTAACATTAAATCATCCTCCTCCCATTTTCACCTCAAAATTATGGGGAAGCTGTGCCTCCCCTGCCTCCCCCGACGAGCCGACACTGCTTATTCGCAATAAGGTGTTTACATGACACAAGCAAACCGCTTCACTCCTGTTTACATGCGATTTTTCATTATTCTGATTATTTGCAAAAAATTGTGGTTATTTTTACTGAACCTCAATGCACTGCATAAATTGTTGTAATACAGTTTCACAATATTGCTGTTTTTACTGTATTTTTGCTGCAATTAAATGCAGCATTGGTAAGCATAAGAGACGCATTTCAAAAACATTAATACAAATCTTACATAAAATTGTATTTCTTAGTTTTATTTATTTTCGAGTTTTTCAATGTAGACTCATTTGGACCACATGGTAGATTTCCCCATGTGTTTTCCCAACTAACAGTAGTCTTTCAAAATATAATTTAGCAATACATTTATGTAAATACACATTCTGTTTTGCAGACTAATTTGGAAAGCTTTTGCAAATGAAAAATAGTTCATTACAGTGTACAAAACAGTTGTCCTAGCTTCAGTATTTTACAAAAACTGCAGCAATATTACAGTAATATTAATACAGAGATAACTGAAATGCAAGCGGAATGGAGGAATGAATGAATGAATGCAAGAAGACTAGTTGTACTTGTGTGAACGAGAGCAAGTACACATGAGACATGAAAGTAGTGTCAGTTTCAGTTACCCGGATGAGTGATCTCATATATAGTATTGCCCTGGAAAGTGACTGATATTAGGAAATATTACTGCTCGATTATGTGATTGACCAATCAGAATCGTACCTCATGCCCACCTCTCTGTCCCCTGTGTAAAATGTCG